CCCCAAGCATTCCAAATGACTGAGGAGCATGCATCTGTGTGTCAATAATTCGGTCTTCGACTGAGCCATAATGAGCCAGTTGTCGAGATACAGTAGTTCAGCATGTGCACTGCCTTTTGCCTCAGGAGAGAAAATGCTGTGTCCATGCACTTCGTAAATGTACGGGGTGCCAGGGACAGACCAAATGGTAGGACCGTTTTTTGATAAACCTGCCCCTCGAAAGTGAATCTCAAGAATTGCCTGTGATTGGGCATTATCTGAATATGAAAGTAAGCGTCTTTCAGATCCACCCTAAAAAAAAAACAATCCCCCAAGCGTACCTGCGTAAGGATTTGTTTGGTAGGTTTCATTCTGAATGGCCATCTCATGAGTTCTTTGTTCAGATGTCTCAGGTCTAAAATGGGGCGGGTATTGCCATCCTTTTTTGGTACAAGGAATAGCAACTGCAAAACCCTGATCGGCTCAGCGCGGGAGGGACTAATTCTATCGACCCTTTTGCTAGCAGATTTTGTACTTCGGTGCAAAGCACGTGAGCCACGTCACTTTTCACCAAAGTCTTGATGACCGCCTGAAATCCCGGGGATCTGCGAGCGATTCGGAGCAATAGCATCGCTTTATAATGTTCAAAACCCAGTTGAACCCAAAACCCGGAGATGGCTTGCCAGGCCTTGGCCCTTGTGGCTAGGGTTTGAATGAAACATGGGGCTGGGCCGCCTAGCGTGGGTGAACCAATACCCCTGTGTTGTGTTTTGTGTACATGTTCTCTTTGGGGCTGGCTTGACAAGCCTTGGTCTGGCTGTACAGAGATAGAGTGAAGACTGGGGGAAGGCCACCTAGAAAAGTGGGACCGGTTACCCAGATGTTGTGTGTTTGAAACATACTCTTTATTTGGTTTACTTGAGTCGCTGTAAAAACACGTTGCATGCATTGCATTGACTGCGTTGCATTGACTACAATAGGAAAATCTCCAGCAGCCTGAGTGGTAGCCTTCGTAGCGCACAGTGCTAGGTCTGTGGTGCTGCATAGGTCTCAACATGTTTCAGCCTGACCGGAAGCTGAGAAAGTGAGTCCAGCGAGGGCTGAAAGTGTTTCGGCAGGGCTTAGAGCCAAGACTGAATCTAAGACTTTTTCTATGTACACAAAAGGTCTATTTCTCTCAAATATTGTTCACAAATCTGTCTAAATCTGTGTTATTGAGCACTTCTCCTTTGCCGTGCCCGTGATAATCCGTCCACCTCACAGGTGTGGCATATCAAGATGCTGATTTGACAGCATGATTGTGGCAGAAGTGTGCCGAAGGCTGGCCACAATAAAAGGCCACTCTAAAATGTGCAGTTTTACTGTATTGGGGGGTCAGGGGATCGGCGTATACGACAGCGTGTTCCAGGTCCTGCCGATATACAGCTGCTTCGCACAGCCATTAAAGAGGATTGGACCAACATTCCACAGGTCACAATCAACAACCTTATTTTTTTGTGGGGTTCCCCCCGGACCTCCCGCAACACAGCCAATGGGCGAGCTAGACATTCTATTATGTTCGCTGTGCCGCTGCATGCGTTTAAAAATATAGGCTTCAATATTTCTCGAGGAAAGGAGTTTCCCCACTGCATATTAGCTACGCAATACGAAGTGACCATTCTCGAAAGGGAATCTACAACATTCGATTATCATGGTGGAATATTACATGATCCCACATTAAATATAATGGAAGAATAGTTTGTATTAATGAATGAAATAGATATTTGTACTACTACAATCTGTGGTTAAAAATATGACATTGAGACACATGATAGTCGGGGAGCCAAAGTCTCAAAAGCTCTATAAAATGGGTTGAACCTGACATGGTCTGCCATACTTTTTATTTGTGTTTTTTTCTGTTAACTTTGACCCTAAGAACAAATAATTAGAGGGTCTGCTCTGCCGGAAATATCGCGAAAAAAAATTGTGGCCATTTTAGTGTACGCACCCTTTATTTTTTATCAGAAAAATGTGAAAAATTATTTTTTTCATCAAATCCTCAGTGGGTTGGGTAGGTTCTCAATAAATGCATTCCAGATACACAGAACACATGTGCGGACAACATCCACTGAAAAAATAATTCATAAAACACATTTCTACATGATTTCGCATCAATTTAATGCAAAAAAACAGGCGTTTTTTCACTTATTTTCCACTATTTTCATCTTTACTTCATTGGCAATCAACTATTCCCTTAAGTTATGACATCAGGCAATATGCCATTCTTTTCACCAAACACTATACTCATTACACAGAAAAAATTATAAAAATCCAAACAAAATCAATGGATCTGTGATGATTTCACTACTAGTTGGCGATCAACAGGCTCAGAATTTCAATAGAATTTTAGACTACTCTCAAAATTCTTAAAAACATGCTGGATATTTAGCATCATGGCTCACTTACAAACACACACACACACACACACACATGATCTTAGTAATTTTTATGAGTTTGGAACAACCAACCAACGGTTACCAACGGATTTCGAAGCTGCTATACCCACGCTGCGGAGTGGGGCACGTGATGCGATCCCAGAAGTGGTCCCGATTACATTGTCACGTCGATGTTACGCCGCACGTGATCGACTGAAAGGGAACTAAAATTTTAATAGTAGGTACTCAATCAAAACTGTGGAATTGTGGAAATTTTACACTTACTATCGCCGACTCTGTTATCTTTCTTTCTTCTCAGGTTAAGAGTCTGAGTGTCATCCTGTATTGATAAACTTCAGATGGTTCAGAATTCAGCAGCTCGGATCATTACACAAACACTGTTGAATGAGCATATTACTCCAGTTTTAGGGAACATTCATTGGTTTCCAATCAGATTTCATATCAATTCAAAATTTTACTTTTTACTTTTTGTAAGGTGTCCTTGAGTGTCTTGAAAGACACCCAACAAATAAAATGAATTATTATTATTACTACTAGCTAACTAGCTTTTGACAAATCACTCACTCTATATACTGTAAAAACAAAAACAAACTATGCATACTATATAGTATGTTTACATTTTACAGAACATTTGTATTGTTCATTATTGTGTACAGTCTGATATCCAATATAGCTATATATTGTTTTTTTTGTCTGTGTGGCCATTCATGCCACAAGCTAACTAGCTAAACTTTCTAAACCGCAATGTAACAACTAGCCATGAAGCTAAATGCTAATGGCAGCTAACGTTTAATGTAGCCTTTAGTTATCCTTACTAGCCTACTATCTGTCTGACATGAAAAACACTTCAAGGACCACACCAGGCTTCATACAAGTTTATTTCCAATGATTCCTCGCTCCAAACGTATCAGCATTTATTCTCATATCTATTTCTTTACCTAACAAGTCCAGTTGAAATTTTGGCAATTTCTCAACTTCCGGTTGAAGCTTATTGAACATATAGGACACATACCTCTATTAGAGAATGATATCCTAAGCATTTAAAAAAAGTAAGTCTCTACTCTCTACCCCATACCTGTGAGGAGTAATGCCGTTTAAAGAAACCACCGACATTAGCTAAAACGGCTAAAGCTAGCTAAGTAAACTAGTAGAGAATGAATGCTGCTGCTACAGGGATATGTTTGGGATGAAATCATCAGAAATATTATTGTTTGAAGACTGGTGTGGTCCTTTCAGTTAATTACAATTACAGTATCCATATTACCATTCTTTTCCCAAAACTCTGGGGCAGACCTACCGGTATATTAGTCACTATCACTTACCACAGACAATGATGAGCAGCTTCGAAGTCTGTTGGTAACCGTTGGTAACCATTGGTTGGTTGTTCCAAACTCATAAAAATTACTAAGATCACGTGTGTGTGTGTGTGTGTGTGTGTGTGTGTGTGTGTGTGTGTTTGTAAGTGAGCCATGATGCTAAATATCCAGCATGTTTTTAAGAATTTTGAGAGTAGTCTAAAATTCTATTGAAATTCTGAGCCTGTTGATCACCAACTAGTAGTGAAATCATCACAGATCCATTGATTTTGTTTGGATTTTTATAATTTTTTCTGTGTAATGAGTATAGTGTTTGGTGAAAAGAATGGCATATTGCCTGATGTCATAACTTAAGGGAATAGTTGATTGCCAATGAAGTAAAGATGAAAATAGTGGAAAATAAGTGAAAAAACGCCTGTTTTTTTGCATTAAATTGATGCGAAATCATGTAGAAATGTGTTTTAAGAATTATTTTTTCAGTGGATGTTGTCTGCACATGTGTTCTGTGTATCTGGAATGCATTTATTGAGAACCTACCCAACCCACTAAGAATTTGATGAAAAAAATAATTTTTCACATTTTTCTGATAAAAAATAAAGGGTGCTTACACTAAAATGCCCACAATTTTTTTTCGCGATATTTCCGGCAGAGCAGACCCTCCAATTATTTGTTCTTAGGGTCAAAGTTAACAGAAAAAACACAAATAAAAAGTATGGCAGACCATGTCAGGTTCAACCCATTTTTGAGACTTTGGCTCCCTGACTATGAGATAGTATTTCCTTATTTTGCAAGTAGGCTGTGAACAGAATAAGCAGTCTTCTGGTAAAGCACTGTCAATAAGAATGTTAAAAGGGTCTTCTGTTATGTCACTGAGAAGAAAGAAATGCAAGTTTGGAACAACATAATAGTTAATAAATGATGACAGTTGTTTTTTTTTTGTTTTTTTTCATTTTTCACTTCTTTATTCACCTGTTAAATTGCAATGTGATTAAGGGCTTATTTCACCATTTAGGCTGATGAATGATGAAGTTAAATGTCTACTGGCATACCGGTAAAGTGTTTTATAACAATTTTGCCTTTTTAAGGGGATAGCTTTTTCTTAACAAAACTTAAATACAGCACCAATACAAGCAGATATAACAACACAAACAAATGATAATAATAATGGGAACTACTAATGGATCTAAAGACACAGTATAGCAATGAGTTATAAAAGCCTTTTACAGAATTTTATTTTTTAAATAAAACTAATTAAAAGGAAGCATCTGTGTTTACTGTGCTTTGTTGTGGTCTAAGACCTACTAATGGTCTGCGTGTAATTCTGAATAGATGCTTGAAAGTATGCAGGAGTGTTCTTTTGTGGTTGGAATATTATAATGTATGATTTTGGTATGAAATAGCTGAAGACAATTCCGTATATACTAGATATCTGGGCCATTGCATTAACAAGTTGAATGTATTGACTTTTGAGAATGAGGTATGCTGTGAAGTACACAATCCAGCTCACAATGTACAAAATGAGACTGAATGTTATTGATTTAGCTTCATTGTAATCTTTTGGCAGATCTCTTCCCATGTAAGAAAATAAGAGACACAGGGAACCAAGAAACCAACCTACAAACATAACAATGCTAATAGTTATAGTGTTCCCTATTTCACAGCTGAGTATAATCTGGTCTTTAAAAGTGAATGAGTCTCTGAAAGTTTTGGGAGCTGAGACAGTCATCCACAGTACACAAGAAATTAATTGAATGACAAAAAAAAATCCAACAAAGAGCCACTGTCCATTGTACTTTACCCAAAAGCTGTGCACGTTGGGGAACTTGGCAGCCATTTTGAAAATACAAACAATTTGAAAGGAACGGACAGCCATACAGGAGAGAAAAACAGTGAAGAAAAACGCAAATATGACATTTCTCAGGAGGCAGTCTACAGATGTGGGGTTTCCAAAGAAAAAGAACACACTTATGCTAGACATTATCAAACATGTTAACATCAGGATACACATGCTACCACCAGCAGACCTCACCACTGGTGTGTTGTAATTATAGGTGAAAAGACAAAATATGGCAAAAAGGAGATTAATTAGACAAGTAGCAGAAACCATGACAGCGATGGAGGAGATTTCTGTGAATTGAAGATAGACAACAGAACGTGTCTTACATGTTGCGCTGCCCTCATCAGACCATTCACTCTCTGGACATGGAAAACATGTATAGGGATCCCCTGAGAAACAGTAAAACACTATGAAAAAATACTTTCGTGATTAAGGTCAAACATTGATTTTATAATGCATGCTGGTGGGAAATATCTATGGAAAATTAATTCACATAGATTAAGATGCCGTAGTTCATTCAAACAATGAAATCATTACAGATGGTACAACCCGATCTCACGACCAAGTCGTACGAATTCGACGAATGATTAAAAAGTGGCTAATTCGTAACAATTCATACGACCTCACTCGTACGAATTAATACGATTTTGCTAAATCGTACATATTTTACGAATTGGCCAATTCGTATGAATTCGTACGAATGACCTACCCCTTACCCCGCCCCTAAACCTTACCATCACGTGGGTTTAGACAAATCGTACGAATTAGTACGAATTAGCCACTTTTTAATCATGCGTCGAATTCGTACGAATTGGTCGTGAGATAGTGTTGGATGGTATGGTGTAGAATAAAGAATGGAGCACCAGCATAACATTGGGAGACGGCACAATAGAAGAAGATGGGGTATGATGTCCCATCAATTTTTTTCTTCTTGAACTTAGGTAATCACAACACATTGGCTAATAATTTTGACATTTTATCTGAATATCAACATTAGTGAGATTTATTTGAAGTTGTCTTTTTTTAATTGTTATTTGTGAATTTACTTCATGTTTGCCATTAAGAGTGTTTACATAGACAACCCGGTCTCATCCCAAATCGTCATATAACTGACGTTTTGGGACGTCTTTTGACCATACGTCAATATTCGCCTTTTTAGGGCCCCCTTAAACGTCGGTAGATGAGGTTATGGGATCCTAACTCTACCCCATACCTAAACTTAACCCTAAACCTAACCCGTCACCTAACTGACGTTAAAGGTAAAGCGTCAGTTGTATGACGGCCCGGGATCGCCATCTACCGACGTTTAAGGGGGCCCTAAAAAGGCGGATATTGACGTATGGTCAAAATACGTCCCAAAACGTCAGTTATATGACGATTTGGGATGAGACTGTGTTAACATAGACAGTCTCTATACGGTTTTATTAATAGTAGATTTGTAGACACAGTAATTATTTTACATAATTATTTTACATTTGTAAGGTAAAAAATATGAACATTTACATTTAGACCATGTGGTTAACATTTTATAATGGAGCTGTTATTTAATAACTATTTTTTTACTGCAGTACTTTTTTACTACAGAACTACAGTAATTTTTTTTGTGCTTTAACAACTAAATGTGCAAGTGTTTGATTTTTTTTCCCAATTAAAATAAAGTGGACTGAAGAAGCAGAAATGCCAAGGTTTTTTTCATTCATCTCTTAAAGTACTCACGGGAATAATTCACATAGCTGTTACGTGGACATTTTTTACACAGAAAACAGCAACTATGATATCCATCAGGTTCCCTCGAAAATCCTTCTTTGCACTCAACAGAACAGTTTGAGAAAGGAACCTTTATGGAATATCAAAATGTGTTATTAAAATTAAGCTAAATCAGGTAAATGTTTAGATAAATACTCACCAATAGTATATCTTACCGAACCATTGTTATGCCAGGACAAGAGAGAGTTGTTGATAGTAAAAGTAATTTCTGGATTTTTATCATATATGCCAACCATATCAAATAGAGGAGGATTTGTTTCAGTATTCCAGCGTATGACTGCAAAACTGACGGTTGGATCACCATTTTCATCATATTTCACCTGACGGCCGTTAAGTGGGAAGTCCAACTTCTTGATTTGTTCTAGGAGCTGTTGTAAAGTGTTGGAAAATGTCCCCATTAATTTGATGAATGCTGCTATAAGAAATACTATTACTTTTCCTTAAACACTTCATTATCATCTTATGATGCATTTACTCACCATGTATGGCTTAACTGCTGTGTTTTTGCTGCATTCATTCATGTCACACTGCAGAACATTATGTAATGCATGAGCTATGGAATATATGGCAGCATAGATGGCATATGAGAATGTGGGATTTTCATTTATAATCTCCTCTGCGGTCAACATTGTGCCGCAAACACAATCTTGATTACATGTCTTACTATTATTCTTGACTTCACTATCAGCTTCACACAGCACAGCATCAGTTGTTCCCCTATCTTTATAGATGAATTCATTAAATCCGGGCAAAGACAACAATCTTTCTGTAATGCCAATAACTGTTCCAATTTTCCCAATTCCTGGCTCTCTTGGAAGCTGTTGATTCATAGCCCATGCTTCACTTGCAATCCATACTTTGCCTTGGATGTTGTTTGCTATGGCTGCTTTGATAATGTTGCTTGCATATTGTGTCACAGCGAAAACAACAATGACATTGATGTTAAGCATATCAATCTTTTTAAGTGTTAGACTGTAGTTTGCCCTTTGACTTAGAGTCTCTTGATAGGCCAAACAAATTCCAGTATTGCGTATGTACTTGTTAAAAAGACTTAGGCCGTCTTCACTGTAATCGTCTTGGCCACCAAGAAAGGCAACCCAGTTCCAACCAAACCATTGTATGATGTGAATAATCATTTCAATAAGGTCTTTGTTGCTGGGCACTGTTCTTAGAAAAGAGGGATACTGCAGTTTATTACTTAATGCATAGCTGGAAGCTCCATAATTCACCTTAAAAAAAGAGGATAACAGCATTATGTGTTGTAGTATTTCTTTATAAAAATTAAAAGAGGAATGAAAAACAATTTACCAATGGTATAAGGTCCATAGTGATCAGTGGTGCAATTGTAATAGTTCCTGTGCTTCCATATGGCCCTGTTAAAGCAATCACTTTAGGCTGATAGTTATTGAGTTTTTCTTTGGGTTTTATTGATCCATTTTTTGAGATAAAACTTAAGACTGAAGGGAAATTATTAGTGTCAGAACAATGGTCAAAAATTTCATAGCCCAGAGAAACATTGGGCAAAAGAGTGGTGGAGTTATTAATTTCTTCAACAGCAAACCTCATCACTTGGAACATCTGATAGCCAGATTCTGAGAAAGTGTATCTAGAACACAATAGTGAGGAAGTGAATTGCGCTTAATTTGATCTTTGTATTAATAAAAAATGACTTTAAATATCAAATATTTGTATATATCTGCTGTAAAAAAATTGCTCTCTTACCTGGAACATTCAATAGCTTCTGGAGATAACAGAGGTGTTGCATATTGAACTTCATGTAAAGGGAAAAGGCCACCCAACAAGTAATCTCCTTTCAAGCTGAACTCAGATTCTAAGCAAGAAACTTTAAAAGGGAAATGAATTAAGGCAAAAAGGAAAGAGTAAATGCTACTCAGAAGCATGGTTTGCGTGGACCGTGGTTGTAAAACTGGAATCTGTAGTGGCAATCCATAGAAGTCAGGCTTATATATAACAATACAATTTGATTACAACACAATTCAATTTGCTTAAACCACTGTACTCACTGATACAAAGTTCAATTTCCATAAAATCAAAAAAGTTTACATCAATCAGTTATTAAGTAGAGCATTTCACCACATTTCACAAAAAATAAATAAATACCCAGAGTTTTAACATTAAAAACTGCCTCCATCATGATCTCATTCTTATTAATAAGCTAATCTATACATTTCCTAACTATAACACTAATAGATTTGTAATGTCTCAAGCATTTTTTACAGATTTTATGAGATTTTGTGATATGCTAAGGGCATGGAGTTGGGCATAAGTGTGGAACTCAATTTATTTTAGAGATGTACTAGTTTGTGTAATACATTTGTTTGGCAGCAAAAAGAGAATGCTTTGCTAAAAGTGAAGTTGTTTGATGTTTAAAACGGAGGTGTAACAAGTTGCATGAAACGGGGATCGACACTAAGGTTTTGACAAGCGCTTGAACCCCAGCTTCTCAGACAGGGTACCCCTGAGCGACAGGCGAAGACAGACAGCTAGTGGACTCATATGAAACACAAGCAGTTATAAAGGCATATTAAAATATTTTTAAATAAAATAAAATAAATAAATAAAAATAAAGGTCTTTACTTAGACTTACGCACAAAAACGGCAGGAGTGTGTCTTTTAGGTCAGGGAGGTGCGTTTCCCGAAAGCATCGTTAGCCAAATATGGTCGCAAGTTCCGTCGTTATCAGCATATAGTTTAACAAGTCTGTGTTTCCCGAAACCATCGTTCCAACGAACATTCGCAAACAGCAAAGTTGTGTGGTTTGAACGACAGCTCTCGACCTATGGTTAGAGGCATTGTTTCTATATTGCATGACATTTGGAGGTAGGAAATCCTTATATTGAGAAAAATAAGCAAGCTGACGTTCAGTACAACCGGTGTCTTTTATTTAGAATACATACAAATGGAATTTCTGTCTTTTAGTTTGTCAAAAGATTTGAAGTAACGTGTTTGAAGAGTGCGCATATGCGAACGTGCATAGGCCTATGTAAGAACGAGCCAAATATTGAGTCTGGTAATAAAGCAAAACAACTGAGAACACTTAGAAATAGTCCTCAGATGACATGTCTGTAATTTATATAAAACAAATCTAGCTAATTGGATCTCAAACAGTTTCATTAAAGGTAGTTATTACTCCACCACATGCGAAACCAACGTGGTTGAACGATATTTTGCGACAGTGGGTTTCGGGAAACAGCCGTGACTAGTTGATTTTTCCAACGATACATCGTACTATGGTAGTGAAACAGCGAACTACGTCGTTGGACGGGAAACGCACCCTTGCATTGTTTATCCTCTTGATCTTTCATTTTAAAAAATCACAAAAATCTAGGTAAAACAATTGAAAGTGAGGGAAAATAGCATAATGTTTTATTACTGTATACTTTGTATATTTACATTCATATTCAACATTTTTAGCATACCAGTGTGACTAGGACCATGAAATTTTCCAGCCAAGTCAAGTCATCTTTATTTATATATCGCTTTTTACAATACAGATTGTTTCAAAGCAGCTTCACAGAGATAACAGGAAAAAAATGACATAATAATATTGTTAAATATAAAATTTAAATGTCCCCAACTAAGCAATCCAAAAGCCAATGGCGACAAAGACAAAGAAATGTCAGGAAAAGCGAAAAAAGATGAAAAGGTGATAGTGGCAAGGAACCAAAACTGCATCAGGTGACAGAATGGAGAAAAACCTTGGGAGTCATTACGCCGATATGGAGACGAGTTTGGTAAGTTGTCCATGATGAGGCCTTCACAGGGCTGATGAGGCTAGCGCTTCAGGGATGTGTTGTGGTCATAACTAGGCGCAAGTCCACCATCTGATCTGGGGTGCGTTTCCCGAAAGCATCGTTAGTCAACTATGGTCGCAAGTTCCATCGTTATCAGCAACGATTCAGTGTTTCCCGAAACCATCGTTCCAACGAACATTCGCAAACAGCATCGCAAAGTTGTGTGGTTTAAACGACAGCCTTCGACCTGTGGTTAGAGGCATCGATCGTTTCTATATTGCATGACATTTGGAGGTAATAAATCCTTATATTGAGCAAAATAAGCAAGCTGACATTCAGCACAATCGGTGTCTTTTATTTAGAATACATACAAATGGAATTTACATCTTTTAGTTTGTCAAAAGATTTGAAGTAACGTGTTTGAAGAGTGCGCATGTGCGAACGTGCATAAAAGAACGAGCCAATTATTGAGTCTGGTAATAAAGCAAAACAACTGAGAACAAGTAGAAATAGTCCTCAGATGACATGTCTGTAATTTATATAAAACAAATCTAGCGTTAATTGGATCTCAAACAGTTTCATTAAAGGTAGTTATTACTCCACCACGTGCGAAACCAACGTGGTTGAACGATACTTTGTGACAGTGGGTTTCGGGAAACAGCCGTGACTAGTTGATTTTTCCAACGATGCATCGTACTATGGTAGTGAATCAGCGAACTACGTCGTTGTATGGGAAACGCACCCCATGTCTGCTTCCCGGGCAATGTTAGGAAGACTGATCCAAAGCTTTGGTGCTAAATAGGAAAAGTATAGGTTAGGCTACGTGGTAGCGCCAGCAGTCGATTTCAATATTCTAGGTATTATCAATTTGCCAGAATTTTGAGATCGCAACCCAGACAGCAAACTGACATTGAATCAACGTGGAAACGACGTCTCTCATGACATTGAAACAACGTTGATTTTGCTCATCGAATTAACGTTGAACCAACGTCAGACGCGGCATTCTTCAAAGCTAAATGAAAATCGAAAATTGGTTTGCTTTCATAACGTTGAAACAACGCGTTGATTTCAAGTTGATTTTCCGTTAGCTTTGAAAGAATGACGCGTCTGACGTTGATTCAACGTTAATTCGATGAGCAAAACAATGTCAGATCAACGTTGTTTCGATGTCATATTTCCACGTTGATTCAATGTCAGTTTGCTATCTGGGAATAGACGTCCAGCCATGACTTCCTGTTCTACAGGAGTATAAAAATGCCAAATTCCCCACCCATCACAATGGGTAAAACCAAAAATTATATTTCTGGGTACGAAACATCTTAAGGTTAAGACTAGCTCCCATTATGAAATATATATATATATATATATATATATATACGTATATATATCCCATATATGAATGATCAGTATGTTAAATGGTTTAACAGTATATTTTAATATACATATACAGTATATTATAAACTATGTGACAATACGTTTACTAATAGGGCCTATATCATAATGTATTTAATTTTATATTCAGTAATACACTTCATAATATATAGATGTATATGTAATAAGATATGGTACTGCATGTGTTGTATATTGCAGATATATTTACTCATGCAACATAAACATAAACACATATATAGAGAAATATATAATGTAATATATTTCTTATATTTTTAAAATTATTTACATTATGAATGTTTCATATTTTCAAGCTAGTCAACAAAAGCACATGCTTTTGAAAGCACGTGCATATTAAAGGTATTAGCCAAGAGACAATCAATGTGCCACAGGCTCTACTCTTCAGCACAATAGTAACCCCCCAAAAACCGATACCATAAAACCTTTTAAATTCCAAAATAATATGTCAATTTGTCAAAGTCAATTTTATTTCTATAGCACTATTAATCACAACCATGGTTGTCCAATGTGCTGCACAATAGTAACATGAACAAGGCAAGAACAATATAATTTAAAAACAATAAAAACAGAATACAATACAACTTACAACTCAACAACTCAATACAACTCATTGATTATATGCCAAATTAAACAAGTGCGTTTTTAGCATAGATTTAAAAACAGACAGTGAAGACGCATAGCGAATACAGAGAGGCAGAGCATTCCACAGCTTGGGGGCAGCTACTGAAAAAGCCCAGTCACCCCTGTATTTCAGTTTCGACTTTGGAAAAATATATATATTTCCCATATATGAATAATCAGTATAATAAATGGTTTAACAGTATATTTTAAAATATAAAAATAATATATTGTGTTAATATATTACAATATATTGAATAATGCATAAGGAATTACCGCTTTTCATATACAGTATATTATAAAAGAAGTGACAATATGTTTACTAATAGGGCCTATGTCAAAATGTATGTAATTTTATATTCAGTAATACACTTCATAGACGACCGGAGGGATAGAACTGGACGATATTCAGTTAATAAGTCTGATAGGTAGGAAGGGGCCAGACCGTTTAATGATTTAAATACCAAAAGAAGTATTTTATTATTGCAAAGAACGTACTGGCGTAATATGGTCCCGTTTTTTGGTTCTGGTTAAAAGTCTAGCGGCCGCATTTTGTACTATCTGCAAACGGGATACAGCTGACTGGCTGATCCCAAGATAAAGTGAGTTACAGTAATCCAATCTCACTGTAATAAAAGCATGAATTAATTTTTCGAAATTATTTCTTGACAGAATTGGTTTTACTTTTAGTAGTAGTCGAAGCTGAAACAAGCATGATTTGACCACTGTATTTATGTTTCTGTAAAATTTTAGCCCATCATCGAAGACAACCCCAAGATTATTGACCCAAGGCTTAACAAACAGGGATAACTCTCCCAGGTTTATTTTTGGTAAACTAGGAGAATCTGAAGGACTAAAAACTATTATTTCAGTTTTACTTTCATTAAAATTAAGAAAGTTTAAAGACAACCAGGCCTTAACATCAGACAAACTGGTCATAAGTGCCTCCAAACCATTTGAACTCTGCTTTAATGGCAAATAGATTTGAGTATCATCTGCATAGCAGTGAAACGTCTCGGTTACGGATGTAACCCTCGTTCCCTGAGTAGGGTTTCGCATAGAAAGCCAATCCTCTTCGAGTATTTAATCACGAGCCAATGGCATGCAATGCCTTGGGG